GGGTTAGGGGTGGGGAAGAAAACCAGAATTACCTTTTGGAGGGTAAGCTCCTTGCAGTACAGGCTTCCTCTGCTAGGTAAGTGTTCTGGGAACCCATCGACATCAGTGTACCAGCTAGCATTGTTGTGAGAAGCTGTGTTTGGCTTCAGTGAATTATTTTTTGAGATTCTTTCAATGTGTTTGCCCATTTCATGGGTTTTACGAGTGTACCTGCCCACACCGTGCTGAGTGTTCAGCAGTTTTTGACCAAAAAGGGTATGACCCTTGTGCCCCACTCTCGCTATTCACCCAATCTCACCTCAAGCCACTTTTTTTTGGTTTGTTTCCCCGTTGAAAAAAGTCCTCAAAAGGAAACTTTTGCTGATGTGGGAGAGGTGAAACAAAAAAAACCACAGAAGCACTCAAAGGCAACAAAATTGTTAAGTTCAAAAACTGTTTTGAACCCTGTAAAAAGCCATCTTGATTACGTGTATTGCATCAAACGGAGAATACTTTGAAGGTGACTGAAGTTTAAACATGTAAGAATAAATACACAATTTTTATAAATAAATTCTGAGTTTTTTGGGTCCTCTCTCATAGTGAGGCTCCCATCTCTACAAATTAAAAAAAAAATTTTTTTTAATGAACCAGGTGGGCCAAGCACAGAGGCTTTAATTCCAGCACTTTGGGAGGCTGAAGTGAAAGGATTGCTTGAGCCCAGGGGTCCAAGACCAGCCTGGGCAAGATAGCAAGATAGACAAGCAAGACCTTGTCTCTACAAAAAAGAACAAAAATTAGCTGGACATGGTGGTGCGTGCCTGTAGTCCCAGTTATTTGGGAAGCTGAAGTGGAAGGATATCCTGAATCTGTCACTTGCAGGTGAGGAAATGACAGTGTTCTTAGGAGACACACTAAAAGTGATCCATAAGGCCCCACATGGTTGGCTCCTCCAAATTTAGCCAAGTATATAGGACTACGTGCACCTGTAGCCCTAGTGACTCAGGATGCAAAGACTGGAGGATTGCTGCTTAAGCCTAGGAATTTGAGACTGCAGTGAACTATGATCTCACCACTGCATAGCCTGGGTGACAGAATGAGACCCTGTCTCTATAAAAACAAAACAAAACAAAAGGAGCCCTCCCCTAACAGCCTCTCATGTCCCTGTGTGCTTCTTTACACTTGCCACAGTTGACAGAATTGTGTGATTGCTTGGTAGCATCTCCCCCACTGGGAGCTCTAGGAAAACATAAACTACATGCCTTTGCCCATCATCAAATTCTCAGCACCTACCACAGAACTGGGCTCAATAAATATTTGCTGACTACTTGAATGGATGATACCTCCTCAATACTTTGCTCCACACAGTAAAATTTAGTAGCCAAAGGCACAAGTAAGACTTCCACAGCTCCTGGAAGCTGAGGACCCCAGCATTGGTCAGATATTCTCCTAGGAACCTGAGGCCGCTGAGAGGGGCCGGACCTGCTGAGTGTCATCTTTCTTGGTCTCCTTGCCTTGCAGGAGGTGGCCAAGCCATCATTTGTGTATTCATTTGCCCCTACTTGCCCCCACACGGAAGAAGCCATTTCTGACCTCTGCCTTTGTGGCCTTACTTCCTCCTCCCAGGCCTCAGCATAAGGCCCTTATACTCCATCCTGAGCTCCTGATGTATTCATTTCCTAGGGTTAGCATGACAAATGACCATAAGCCAGACGCTTAAATCAGCAGAAGTTTGTTCACTCACAGTTGTGGAGGCCAGAAGTCCAAAATTAAAGTGTTGACAGGCCGTGATCCCTCTGAAGGCTCTAGGGGGGAGTCTGTCCTTGCCTCTTTCAGTCTTCAGGCATCCTTGTCTGTGGCTGTATAACGCTGAACTT